TCTCCTTTAATCGGCTGTTATACATCTCTTGAAAATGAAAACTGAAATCATCAAATTCAATTCAAGAAAATAATAACTTACAAAAAAAATGATACCACAAAGTATTGAGCGTGGTTGTCGATAAATTGTTACACCTCTTTTTGGTGGTCTTTACTTTGCACCTATATCTCCACAAAAAGCTTTATTGGGCTTAACTCATGTTCAAGAGTCGTAACCTATAAGAAAAATAATGTTGCAAGTCAAATATATTTATAAATAACAACAAATTAATTAAAGATAGGTGTAATTAAAAATAATCTTACCATTTGCTTTGTATGCAAAACAATATAAACAGAGCCACCGTGTGCGTGGTAACTTAGCCGTGAATTTGCTAGCTCCGGTTCCCCGCACTGGACTGTAAGTGTCATGTCAAATGCTCCGACGTCACGTGCTAAATATATTCCACCCATATATCTTCTGGGATGTATGGCGGCCTAAAATCCCTCCAAACAATCACGTCATTCCAGCCAAACAGAGTGTTGTTCCTAGCATATTTTTAGCCTTTTTTTATGCCTCATACCAAAAATCACACAACCTACATGATACAAACATATTCTATGAGTTAATGACAAATGCAATTTTAATATTTAAAATAAAAAATAATTATCATATTGTTTTCGTCGTTATCTAGTTGCAGCATGATTCTCCCAAACCCTATTCACAACATTGTCTTTTTCTCTATCCCATTCAAATTTACCCTTGCATTAACAATTTATGAAAAATAAATCAATATTCTAAATAAAGTATACGAATTTACATAAAAAAGTAGTAAAACTTTTAAGGTAACACTAACTTGAAATCTTGAAAACCATGCATTGACATGAGGGTTCCAATCAGGATGTCTATAAATTTGAATCTATTGAAACAAAGAAATCTCCATCGACAATTTAAACGCCGATGTTATTACTTGGGCGGCCTCAATGGTTGTAAACCTAAAAATCGACAAAATTAATGAAATATTAGTTGTTCATAAATTGTTAAACACAAACAAACTCAAAGTAAAACAAACTTACATTGAAAGGTTATCCTTCTAATGCGCCTCGTACTTCCAGGTGATTTAATACCAATGTGAAAGGACACCACCTCTAAATTGTGAAACAACACTAAAAAAGGCAGTGTTATGTGTCGATATAGGTGTCTCTTCTTGCTTGGCACCTAATGACACTTTGTCATCGTCACTTCTAAAATAACCTGCTGCAATTATGTGCTCACAGTGTGAAGTTGATTTTTTCCTTTACATTTACACAAATTTAATGAATATTACCATAATCAATTTTCATTTTAAAGAAAATGGCAGCACCTCCCCTATAATAGAGACTATCAAGAATTTTCAATCCTACAGATATACAAAATATATGCTACAAACCAATTGATTTTAATTTATTTCTACTAACAATTTTGATTATTCAATGTCATCTTATTTGCAACATGTTAATGTTTTTAATAAAGAATTAATAAGAATTCTTTGTAATTAAATTTAATCCTATATATTCAACTATTTATATTACAAATTTGACAACAACAATTAAAATTTAACAAATACAATAAAACATTAGTGCAATGTTGACAATAAAATAGGAAAAAAAAATTAAACCTATATATTCAATTAGCATTTATATATTGAATTATCAAATAGGAAAAAAAATTAAACCTATATATTCAATTAGCATTTATATATTGAATTTAACAATAATAATTAATTGACATATATATATATATAAAATTTAATCCTATAAATTCAATTAACATCCAGCAATTATAGATGGATAGATGATTAACTCTTTAATTGTTCAGTAAGGATATCAGTTGTTACGCACACACACGATACGAACTAACCTTGAGAAAGAAAGGACTCCTGGGGCAAGTATAAACGCATGGCACGTGGAAGGTCTCGTGAGTTGTATAGCTAGCTCTCTCTAGTACAAATTTTAAGGGTAGGAGCCACAGGTCCGAGGGTGCTTGAAAGCAAAGCAAGCAACGACACACGACAGAAATTAGCCTCCTCCTCCGCAGGAAACTACTTCGATCTTGCTTGTAATTTTTTACTGGATTAAAATAACAAGAACGACAATGTCAGGCTTATTTAATGCTGCACAGGATGAATGCTTGCCTGGTTATTGTTTGACCTTTTTCAGCATATATACTTCAAAACTCCAACGAGCGAGACGAGTTGCTATGCCATAATTACCCCCCACTGTCTCTCTTGTGGTGATGTGTTTTTGGTATTGTTTTGAGATTTTTTTAAAAGCGTTTTTTTATAAATATATTAAAATAACATGTTCTAAATTATTTTGAACTTCACCGTACCAGAACTCCAAAAAATCATAAGAAACCATGATTTTTACTGCAAAAACAAGCAACCCCTTACCATGGATTTGAAAATTTCGGAGGAAAATTGTCACGGAGGATAAGTTTTCAGAATAAGGGAAGTTATAGGGATATTTGGGATAAGCTGAAAGTTCTATGAATAAATTAACCAGCATACATATTCACTATTAAAAAAAATATAAGAACATATATTCAAACCAATTTACACATCTACGTACTTGAACAAATTTAATAAATATTCTCGATCCCGATATTTAAACCAAGGAAAAGAAATAGTATAAAAAATAAAACTCATTAAACACCATGCAACACTTCGATGAACATGCATTCATGACCCTTGTGAAGGTTTCATTTCACTGGTGATTTGAAGAGAGAGTTTGTCTAGAAATCAAAGGGCATGCCCCGCGCAACTGAGAGGCGTTTAGTATCGAGGTTTAACATATTTTTCATTAAAATTTAATTTTTTTATTTTAAATTAATTTTTAACTATTATCATATTCTCGTGTACCCTCTTAATTTGCGCATTCAACGGCACACGAGTTATTACAACGTTCTGGTATAACATTTGACATGAGGTAAAGAAAGATGAACAGGATCAGAGAGGAGGGTAGCGAGAGGCTGCGGGGAAGTCGATCATGATCACGTAAAGAGCCGAGTAAAACATGGGGTGATAAGTTTGAGGAAGGCAGGGCAATAGTGAAAGGGACTGGTCAAGCTAGACGGGCATGCCAATGGCTGCTGTCACCGTGTTACCACCTCCAATTACCAAACAGTGTTCCGATTTGGATTGCACCTACATCTCTTTTCTAATTTTGGTCATCTTTTTGCCCTTGCAATTTAAGTTCTTAAAGTCATCAATCAATCCTTTCATTTATTTGATAGGCCTGCATTTAAAATGAACATTTACCATAAATTAAAGGTATCTTATATTATTAGATATATTATTATAAAACATGTTTTAGTTAAGGAGTTATTGATACTTCAAGTGCAAAATAATAATATAAAACTATGATAAAAATGTACTTTTAAGTACTAATAAAAAATAAGTCAAAAGATTCACCACACATACCTTTTAATCGTGTTGATTATAAACACCTTAAGTTCTACTACTATAAAGAGAGAATTCGAGTGAGGAGGATTTGAACGAGAGTGAAGAGAGAAAATGAGAGGGAAAATGAACTTGGAGCAACCTCCCGGGGTTTTATATTGTGTTTTTATTGATGGAATTATCAACTAACTATTAAATAATATTATTTGTAATTAATTTATTAGTGATTTCCTTAATAAAATAATCTTGAAAGTTTTATTTCCCACTTAAATATTCAAAAAAACCATCTAGATTTTTGGCGATTCATCAATAATTTTGTTGATATCAGTGACACATCACCATACAACTATTTTTATTTAAATCCAATTATAATTTCATCGGTAAAAGTATTCATAAAAAGTTACACTTCACCGTGTTTTTTCTTTTAATTCCTTTGTAAAAAATAAAAGATTCACCACACATACCTTTTAATCGTGTTGATTATAAATACCTTAAGTTCTACTACTATAAATAGAGGATTCGAGTGAGGGGGATTTGAACGAGAGTGAAGAGAGAAAATGAGAGGGAAAATGAACTTGGAGCAACCTCCCGGGGTTTTATATTGTGTTTTTATTGATGAAATTATCAATTAACTATTAAATAATATTATTTTTAATTAATTCATTAGTGATTTTCTTAATAAAGTAATCTTGAAAGTTTTATTTCACACTTAAATATTCAAAAAAACTATCTATCTTTTTGGCGGTTCATCAATAATTTTGTTGATATCAGTGATACGTTACTATACAACTATTTTTATTTGAATTCAACTATAATTTCATCGGTATAAGTATTCATAAAAAGGTACACATCACCGTGTTTTTTCTTTTAATTCCTTTGATTCCAACAGCGATTCCCTACTGCTCCAAACAATTTTGATTTAACGAGGGTACTTTTAAATTACATGAGTAGAAAACAATTGATTGAGATGCAACTGATTCTAGGCAAGCCGCCTTGGATATATTATTGTCTTGTCGAGTCATACCCTGAAATTTGTTCACTTTTTAAATGCATCATTCATTAAATAATTCAAGTAGACGATTCTAGCTGGGTGAATGTAATGATGAAGTCACTACAGCAGGCATATGGAGCAGGTAACCCAACAAGTTGTCTATACAGAGGAAAAGCGTGCACTAATGAATACTTTAGATCTTTAACTCAAGGTCTCAAATTATGTATAATTAAATATCACTTAAGTATTATAAAAATGTTTTATTTGCTTATCTTGAAAATAATCTGTTTTATTTATTTATTCATTTAAGAAATAGCTAATTATACTCCAGTCATAAAATAATAACAATTACTTTTATTCGATTACCTGCTTAAATTCAGTATTTGTGAGAAAAAAAATCCCAATAAAAAATGAATGAAAAGAAATTTTGGACTTAATAAAAATAGGTGTGGATATTAGCAAAATTATGTTTTTTCCAATAAAATGAACATTTATGCCAAGATATATTGTTCCTTGCATTAGCTATGGTGGGATAATGGTACGTTGATTACAATTTATTTAGTCAAATATGCTTATTATCATTCAATTCCCTGGTAAACGGATCAATAATCTCTGGTTCAATCAATGAATTTTGGACAACATTGCATAAAATACCTTTATGTGTGACTGCTGGAAGAAGACAGAAAACGATGAGTAAGGAGAACTAAGGATTTGAAATCTCATTAATGGAGGATTCGAGATGGCCAATTCCAGATTGATCTGATGGATATGATTCATGATTAGTCAATGAACTTGATGTTGATATTGGTTGTTCTCTAGAGGAGGGAATATCTTGTGTCGGCCTTGATGTTTCTTGTTCCTCCATAGCGGAGTGCATACAATATGGAGGTCTTGATGGTAATGGAAGAACGAAAGAGTCGCTGCTAAGCATCAGAATAACTGAAGCCATGGTTGGTCTATCTGCTACCTTTTCTTGGACACATAGTAATCCCATGTGGAAACATCTTATCAATACATCTCTCCTTGAAACAACCCTTTTGAGAATAGGATCTATCAGATTTAATGTTCTTCCTTCATTCCAACTCTCCCATGCCTGCAAACATTTTGATTTTATCAATTGTTCCCAAGTGTTGGGGTAATAGATTAGAAAAATACAATGAACCATTTTTAGCAGCAACAAAAAAAAAAAGTTCAATTGATCTGAACCTACTCATAAAGATGTTACTTACGTTGGTGAGAAGGTATTCTTGCTCTTCCTCGCTATTGAATGAACCATTTTGACGACCGCTAATAATCTCGAAAACTAGCACACCGAAGCTAAAAACATCTGACTTCGCTGAGAAGCATCCATGCATCGCATATTCTGGAGCCATGTAGCCCCTGAAGGTAACCATAATTTAAATAATTTCAGTTGCAATGTTGAAATATTACAAGTCTTAATCATGTGTTGCTTTAGAAATAGTTACACGAAATTTTAGCAATAAGCTGTAGCTAGATTCTTAAACTTACAAGGTCCCCACAATTCTACTTGTGGCGTCTTGCGTTTGATCCATTTGAAATAGCTTTGCCATGCCAAAATCCGAGATTTTAGCATTCATTTCATCATCTAACAAAATGTTGCTAGCTTTTAGATCACGATGAATAACCCGAAGCTGAGAATCTTGGTGAAGGTAGAGAACTCCTCGAGCAATGCCTACTATGATCTGGTAGCGTATTTCCCAATCAATGAGCGATCGCTTGCTTGGATCTACAGCCATGAAGTCTAAAAGCATGGGCATCAAAAAGGAACAAGGAGCAACATAATCTACTCTTTCAAAAAAATAAATTAAGAGTTAGAATAGTAACAAAATAGTGTTTTCGGATTACCAAATAAGAATTGATCGAGACTTGAATTAGGCAGAAACTCATACACTAGAAGCTTTTCTGTTCCTTCCAAGCAGAAACCAAGGAGTCTTACTAGATTCCTATGCTGAAGCCTTGCCACTAACAGGACCTCGTTCTTAAATTCAACTTCTCCTTGTGCAGAATTTCTTGCTAGTCTCCTTACAGTTATTGCTTGTCCATCTTGAAGCAGACCCTGAATCATTTTTCCATTGAAATAGTTTAAGATAAAAACAATGCAAATCAACATCACGTAATACAATCATCTTCAAGTTATATAAAATTTAACAAATATTTGATTCACATTTCAACCTTTTAATATCATTAATTACCTTATAAACAGCACCAAAGCCACCTTGTCCAAGCTTATTATCATCAGAGAAGTTATGTGTTGCAACTCTGATGGATGCAAATCTGAATTGCACGCATTCATTGCCTCCATTTTCTTTGAAATCTTCATGAAAGAAAAACGTTGAAGTAGTTAATTCCATTCAATGTTCAAATCTGTATCCCTGACCATTATTATGTATATTGAGTAAAGACTAACATACTTTTGACCTCTTGCTTTGGCCGCCTACAATAAAGAAAGATGGAAGTGATAACTATAACTGCCATGAAGATTAATACGGAAACAATGATGATTACAACTTTCCGAGTTGTATTGCCATTCTCTGCAAACCAGGGAAAGGTTTCAGATAAAATGTAAATAGAAGCTGAAATGTTAATGCTCAACTATGAGTGAAATGATTAAATTTATTGTCTTGTACGATAAAGAAGAATCCGTCGTTTGCATCAGTGCATATATTTGTTATAATGGAAAAATCACTTGCTGATAGAAAAATTATGTGGTAATTAAAAAAAAAGATAAAATTTTCCTCAAACTCTCTCTGTAACTCGTTAATAACAAGGGAAGCAATATTTCCATCGGTAATTTCTGATAATAATCTCGAATTTATTTTCTAATAGTGTATGCAAGATAAAGGGCAAGTCTCCGAAAGTCTGGCGGTCGGACTTCTTTTTTTCTTGACCAATATAATCATATATAATTGTAACTACAGGTTCTCAACAGGGTTTAGGCTGCGAGAATCTAATATTTTCCTTCTCCTTCAATCTAAAAGAAAAGTAGAAGGACAAGTGTATATGGGATTCCATTTCCACGTTTCAGTAGAAATACGTGATTTGAATTGAACGATTTTATTTTATTTTTTGCTTGAGAAAGGAGTTGAATTTAATTCAATACAAAGTGATAACTATAATTTCTTACATTGAATTCACTCATTTTCTATGAATTTTTTCTGGTGAGAATTAGGACTACTAGAGTTTTTGTATTCTCTTCTTAAAATTGAGGATGTTGCATGGATGACTTGGTATGAACCGCATAATTTAGTGTGTGTGTGTGTGTGTGTGTGTGAAAGGTAAAAGGGCTATCTTAATTCATATCTTTTCAAGGTCTACCTGCAGCTGGCGGAAGTGGTAGCTGTGCTAATGTGGCGGCTGTAACTCTATAAAAAGGGTAGGTTTCAAACCTTAAATAGCAGCTTCCTCTTACAATTCTCCCTCCAATCTTTCCTTCGATCTGTCCATCACAACAGCTTCGAATCTGTTGAAAAGTCCCAGCCAGGCAATCATCACAATCATGGGCTGATAAATCAGGCATGCATTGAACGAGTCCAAATATTGTAATGATTCCCGCCGTTTGATTTCCTGTCGCAAACTTTAGAAGTGAAGTACCTGAAGCTGCAGCTGTACGAAGTCGACTTGTTAAGTTTACAAGTGCCTGACTGAATAGATTCACATGCGAGGCATTTTCTGTGTTCCAAGTGTACACAATAAACTCTTCGTCTAAGACACCAAACGAGGATCTGTTGGAGTATCGTAGAATACAGAAATCATAAATTCCTATCGCCTCTTTCTGGTTAGGACAAACCTGTAAGATCTTACGCACAGAGTTACTAACGCAACCTCGACACTCATTCAGCAAAATATCTCCTCTACAAAGTGCAATTGCATGTACTTGGTCCGGGCCTATTTGACCAGCAGAGAAATTATAATATCCGTAGTCAATTTGGGTATTGGAGGCCAGAGAAGAAAGGAGGCTGTCAAGGTTCTTTTGGAAAGTGCTGTTAGCTGTGTAGTTGTTTTCGATGTTTCTGCAAGACTGGTACAAGAAATCTGGTTGAGCAATACTCAGTGAGGCTAGAAGAATACAAGAAAATGAAAACAACACTATTAGTCTTAAGGAATCCATTGGAAAAGGGTTGCTCACTCTTACCTCAAGCTATTTTTTTTTTTTTTTGGAGATGGATAGTGCATGATGGGTTTCATCTGAGGGTGTTAATTCTATTTATTTTTTGAAATCAGAAGTCTATGATTTCAATGCTTGAACATAGATAGCTACTATTTTGGGGGAGAAAAATGCTTTTGACACTTTAATTAATTGTCGATTTGAACACGAATTACTATAGGTAAACTTGGTCAACATGGAGGCCAGAAAAATGATTCAGGTATGCAAGTATGATGTGAAGCCCATTCAACGAAGCAACAACTGTTATCATAGGTCATAAATCGGAGAGTCTTGAACAATTTAAGAGATTATTTGACATAAAGGGAGCAGTGGCATACAATGGGAATAACACAGATCAAAAACAAAGATCAACAAAAGGCTTACCAAATATGTTGTTATGTGGGATAGTAGGCTTATCAAATATAAAGCAACACGTAAGGTTGTATAGTTCAATCCTTTGTATACCAAAAAGTAGACAAAGCATTTACTGGTTTCTGTCGTCGTCCAGTCTTATTCCATCTTATTCTATCCAGCATATTAAAAGTATCTTCTTTTTTTTTATTTAACCTAGGATATCCATACTAGCTTATATTTATTATAATTAATTTTTAAACTAACTGAACATCCTATGCATATGCAGAGGAAGGAAATAATTTCCTTCGGTCACTGGGCCACAGCCTCCTGCGCATACTAAAAGTATCCTTAAAAAGCGAAGTGATTGTTGCTCTAGAAAACTATGCTTATTACAGCTGTTTGATTTTGATATGTTATTATAAAATATCACATTAATATGTTTGGTAAACAAGTTAATGGATTGAGATGTAAGTCATTAACGACAAGCCGCCCCTAGAACCATATCCTTCCTCTAGTTTTTTTAAACAGATTGAGTGGAAGTCGTCTTTGGGTGCTTCATTTATTTTAAAGAACAAGAAAATTATTGAGGTTGGCATGAATCAAGATAGCTTGATTCATGCGTCAGTGACGAGCTTATTTACTGTAAGGTAACAATCAATCAATAAATATATACCCCGAAAGCCACCTTCATATTCAGATTACTCCACCATAAAAGTGTAGTTCACATTAGCAGTCAAGACATCCAAATTTTTTCTATGTTAATTTTCTAAGTAACTATTATGTATCTCTAATATCTCTATGTGATATATCACATTATCCACCACCAAAATTTCCACTAATAAATAACATCATGAAATGCCAAAGCATTTTTCACTCATAATCCTCAAAAATCAAAATGTTTGATAATATTTTTTCAATTTTAGTCTTCAATATTAAATTTATACGGTAATGAATTCCATAATTTATTTTAATTTATTTTTTATATAGTTATTCCGGTTTTATAACATAGGTCGTAAATTATACAACTAGTTATGTTGACTTAGGTTTTTTTTTAAAAAACTTTTCTCATCTTCATTTCTTAATATTGGATTGATTGATAATTGAGATTCATAATTATTTTTTGATTTTATTTTTATGAGTTTATTATAGTTTCATGATCGTGAACTCAAATTTTATAAGTTAGCTAAGTTGACTTAAATGTTTTTTTTTGTATTTTTATTCAAACTCATCCTTCAACATTGAATTAATTGAGAGTTAAAATTTAAAATTTTTCTTGTTTGCTTTCTAAGAAGCTATTTTAGTCTCTTGACTCGAATTTAGTAGATTAACTCGAATCGACTTGAGTCACTGTTTGTTTTTTTTTAATTTAATTAATCAACATTGAGTTTATTAAGAATTGAGCTTCATAATTTTTATTTATTTTCTTTTTATATATAGGGTTATCAAGATTTTATAATCCACGTTGTAGGTTATGCTAATTAACATGGATTTTTTGTTATTTTTTTAATTAATTAATTTTTTTAACTTTATCCTTCAATATTGGATTGATTGAGAATTATATTTCATAATTTATTTTGATTTGCATTTTATAAGGTTATCTTAGTCTCATAATTCGAGTTATGGTTTGGTTAATTGACTTAAGTTGTTTTTTATGTTCTTTTATTAATTGATTTTTTTAATTGCATCTTTTAACATTGAATTGATTTTAAAATTGATCTTTATAATTTATTTTAATTTTCTTTATATAGTGTTATTTAGATCTCAACATTTAAACTTAATAAATTAATCCAAGTTTACTTAGCTCATTTTTTAGTTAAAACTTGTTTTTTATTTCATCCTTCAATATTAAATTAATTGAGAATTAAATTTAATTTTTATTTATTTAGCAAGTTAACTATAGTTGATTCAAGTTGATCTAATATGTTTTTGTTTTAAATTTTTTTTAAAAAGATGTCATTTTAATTTTTTTAGTCA